AATTGAATACCCTGCATGTGTTTGAATTAAACAAATAGACGCTTTTCCAAGTCTGTCTTAAAAGAATACTGACATACTGTACAGGAATGTTGCTGAAGGATATAAAATCACTTTGTAAAGCCATCTAAATGTTAGTGATGGGGGACAAAATCCACAGTCGCCGTTCTGTGCAACAATGCATTGTGAAGTTGAGCTTAAGCATACATGAGGCTTCAGTGGTTTAAGTTTTACTAAACAAGTGGCTTTCATCAGAGGTTATAGCCTTTTTTAGTATCAAATTGCCTCTTTGTGCTTCCATGAACAATTTGCCTTGCTGAGCAAAAGCAGAGGGTTCAGGCTGTTCTTATGAACTGTTCATAGCTATTAAAAGTAATGGTCTGTAATTCATATATATATACTGTATAAATTCAGACATAGTCCAGGTTATTGTTAGCTATGAAGTATGAAAAGGAATGAAGTCTCTAAAGGGAGGAAGATTAGGAAGAACTTGGGAAGATATTACACAACCAGTTGTATAATGATACGTTGCCGTGATAGTAAGACAAAGTGTACTATGTGGTACTAAAAGTTGAACTTTATTATTACTTTCACATGGAAGAACAACTGTTGATTTGCTGTACATAAAAGGAATGACAAATAACACACATTTCCACTATTTTCGTCAACTGTTCTGAATTTTAAGCTCTCATAATAACATTTAACACATAATGGCAGCTTTAAATAAGAAAAGGTGGCCACAGTCCTGACTACTGCTGTCACAGAGAAGATAACTCAAGACCAAGACCAAACCAAGTTGACTAAATGCATGTATTGTGTGATGCAGTACAATATGTGTAGAAGTCAGGTCCAGTTTCTTATGAAGATAAGCCAAAACTTTCTGAGATATCGAGCCAGCTACCTGCCTCGTCCTCGCTGGTCTGAGATCTGTCCTCCTGGGTGAATCCAGAGTGAAGCCTCGCGGTGAATCACTCACAGATCTGCCCACCGGTCAGCCCTGCCAATGCTGCAGTGATCGATGCTGAGAGGTGCTGGCTGCACGCTCACCTTCATCCATCCTCAGGAGGGAGAAGCAGAGGGAGACAGAGAGAAGGATGGAGATGTGAGCATCGACAGAGAAGCAGAGCCAGAGAGAAGAAGAAACACATTTCTCAGTGCCCTGCAGAGTGAGATAAATAGGATGGGCAGTCTGATACATGAGCTGGTGAATGATTGACCAAACACCTCCCCCAAAAGCCTCCCATCATATTCCTCTTCGACTCACATCCTCACTCTCTCTGTTTATTTATTTACTTCAGCTGAGCAGCGTGGGACCAGAGAGGAGAGGTGATCAATGGAACAGAGAGTCAGACAAGCCAGGGTGTGTGTGTGTGTGTGTGTGTGTGTGTGTGTGTGTGTGTGTGTGTGTGTGTGTGTGTGTGTGTGTGTGTGTGTGTGTGTGTGTGTGTGTGTGTGTGTGTGTGTGTGTGTGTGTGTGTGTGTGTGTGTGTGTGTGTGTGTGTGTGTGTGTGTGTGTGTGTATGTGTGTGTGTGTGTGTGTGTTGTTCTTCTATCCTTTTGAGAACCAGTTTCGAGCCTTCTAAGTTATTTTGCAGAGTGATGTAACAGTATGTCAGTGAACACCTTACACTCTGTCAGAGGTCAGTTTATGGTTACTTTGTTGGAGTTAAACGGTTAAACAGTGTAACAGTTACATTTGAAAGAAGCACTGACTCAAGGAGCCAAATGTTTAAGTCAGTGTAGAAGAGCATCACAATTCAGTACCTCAAATGGGTCGAAGAAAAGTCTCACTGGGAAAGTGCATTTAATTAGGAATGTTAAAAAAATGCGCTGAGGAAATATATAAAGATCTATGTTATGGAAGACAAAAGGCTTATTCAGCTAAGTCATCCTGGGGATGTTGTTAAAAATATATTCCAAGTTGGAAACAGTACAGAACAAGTGCCTCGTAGCTCTTTTGATATCCTGTTAAAAACTGTGAAAGCTACATCATTAGTAGTTGAGGTAGTGAGAGTACTTCATGCACCGCAATGTTAATTACATTTCCTTTACTATAACTCTTCCCTATAGCTATTCCTAATAGAGCATGTTTTCATTTTTATTGGTTACATATGAAAGGTATAAAGGCCAAATCTGAATGGCTTTCTGATCCATTGTTTGCTGACCGAGCGAGCCTTCGAAAAACTGGGTTGTCTTATTTCACAGTTAGCGAGTTGGTAGGCATCGAAAAATGTTTTTTTTTAAATGTGTTTTTTGGGCTATAAAAAGTCAAAGTTGTAAGATAAACTGCTAACTTGTAAGATGAAATGAACCTGTAGTCAGGTTAACATGTGCAAAGCTCTGTCCTGGTCCAGTCTGATACACTCCACATTTATGCTCAGCATGTGAGTGACGTCGATAAAGTCTCCCAAGAAGACTCAGGGCCTATAAAGGATAGGATGGATATTAAGATTGTTCAGTGTGACATGTTCATTCTGGCTACATGCCAACTTCTGACCTAAGGTTATTTGTTTTTAGGCTTTGTGTCTCTAACTCATAAACATAAGTAAGAATTGAAGTTGTCCCACACACAAACTTTAAACTACCTTTACATTTTGAAGACATTTTATGAGTCACCTGGAATGAAGAACCAGGAAGTATGTGCCGCTCAGGGACTGGAATGTCAAAAATATTATTATAAAAAAATAGAGTGAGGGCTCTGATCCCTTCCTCTTTTTTGTCCCATCCCTTCCTCTTCATCATACAGATTTGACGTACTGTATAGAGATTTCCTCTCAATCTGTGAACGCTTGAGTCTTTGCACTGAATGGTTTATTTACAAAGTATTCCGAGTGTTTTGAAGAATGTGTGTGAGCGATTTTCTTTGCTTGTGTATAAATGTTTACATGGCTCAGGAATGTTCTGAAATGTGATCAACTCACCAGAGAGTGCCAACAGCCACATTAACACACACACACACACACACACACACACACACACACACACACACACACACACACACACACACAAGTACAGCTGTGGTAAACATTACCGGTTGTGTGTGCTGGTTATACGGTTGGTTAGATCAGTTTATGCAATGATTCGTCTTTCATTCAAAACTGCACACACAGCACAGTTATGTCCTGGAGGAATATACTGATATTTTTCACAGTAATACACACATGTACACACACACATACACACACAATATGTCATTATTGTAGTGTCGGTTGCATCAGGGCAGAGGGACAAATAATGAATCAGTGCTTGGAGACGTTGAATTGACCTCCCATAAAACATATTTTGCAGAGCTAAAGAGGCACCACTTGATCCCAAAGCCCCACCACACCCACGCACCACAAACACACACACACACATACACACACACACATACACACACACACACACACACACACACACACACACACACACTGAAACACACATGATAGTGGGCCAGGGGTGAGCCCGGCTGTTCTGTTTGACAACTAATGAAGCAGGCCTCAAAGACAAGATGGCACTTGCTGCCATTTCCACTCTGAAGACAAACACACAAACACACACACACACACACACACACACACACACACACACACACACACACACTGGCACTCTGCCATCCATGACTCTGAATAACAATCACAACAAATGAAAGTGGCTGTGAGGGGGAAACTTTCCTCATTGTCTGTTTTAATTTGAGTCTTATTTAACGAGTCGAAAATCAAACGTTGGATAAGGGGGTGGGCGGCAGGCGAGGCGGCGCACAGATACGACAAAAGACGCTGAGAGGGGGGAGAAGAAGAAGAAAACGACAGAGACACATCAGACTCCATCAGTCTGAAAATAGAGCAGTTTTTTGTTTCATCCGACAGGGAGAGGTGTCGATAATTAGGCTCTGTCAGGTAGAGGGGTGTGTGTGTGTGTGTGTGTGTGTGTGTGTGTGTGTGTGTGTGTGTGTGTGTGTGTGTGTGTGTGTGTGTGTGTGTGTGTGTGTGTGTGTGTGTGTGTGTGTGTGTGTGTGTGTGTGTGTGTGTGTGTGTGTGTGTGTGTGTGTGTGTGTGTGTGTGTGTGTGTGTGTGTGTGTGCGTGCGTGTGTGTGTGTGTGTGTGTGTGTGTGTGTGTGTGTGTGTGCGTGTGTGTAGAGTCTCCCTGACAGTATGTGCTGAGAGCACTGTAAATGCATGGGTAATGGTTGTCAGTGTGTGACAGCTAAATGGCCCTTTAGTTCTCTTCTCAGCACCACATTGACACACACACCCTTTCTCTTTTCTTTTTTTGTTACACACACACACAAACACACACAACGTCAGCATCTACACCTCTAAGTTAGAGCAAAGGATCTTCATTTTCATGTTCATCGACTTAATTATCATCAGAAACAACACACGACCGCCCCTCCACTCGAGGGAGTAACACTGAGAACGAGTATGATGGAGGTTCCCATGCAGCTTGTTGTCCCTGTAAACACTCAGGATTGTGTTAACCTATAGTTCTTTACTATCAAATGATTCTAAATGATATTTTTTGTTACGCATGGAGTGTTTTATTTCAAAGAGACATGAGATTAGATGGTATAATTTTCAGCTTGAGAAGCAAATCAGCGAATGTGAAGGAGTCTGTTCAACATAGGTAATGTTTATGAAAAAATACAAAGGAAATAGAAGTTAAATCAACTATTAATAAACTCAAAAAGAAATAAAAAAGAAACAGAGAAAAGACAGACAGCTAAAACCAACAGAACACAGCAGGCTGCCCCTCACTCTCCAGCAGTGTTGGGACTAACGCGTTACAAAGTTACTGCGTTAGTTTTTTATATAGTCAACAGCCAGGCGAACAGAGATGAGAACTGTACTTAAGTACAGTAGGCTACTTGAGTAAATGTACTTAGATACTTCCTGTGTCACATGCGGAGACGCACTGTGGGCGTGTTTGTGTTGTTTAACAAGACTATCATGGCGGCGGCGGAGCTCAAGTCTAGTTTCTCCAGCTGGAGATATTCTCACTATTTCACTTTTGTCGAGCACAAAGAAAAGAACGTTTCTGTTAAATGTAAGTTGTGTCCTGGCGGGTCAAAGAGCCTATCTACTGCCCAAACCAGTAATTCAAATCTCTTAAAACATCTGCAAAAACAACATGCTGGGACGAAGCTAGTATATAAGACCGACACAGACCCAGACTCATCCAACGCCACTCCACCTCCACCTACGTAAGCAACAGCGGCTGGATTTTAACCAAGGGACTGCTGGCCAGGAAAAAGTCGATAAAGCCATTGCACGGTATGTTGTAGAACACATGCAGGCTATTGCTACAGTGGAGTCACCCGCTTTCAGGGAGCTAGTTAGCATGATACCAAGTCCGGGCGGCACACGTCATATCGGACGGAAAACTTGTTCCAACTACCTGGAGAAAGAATATACTAAAATGGAAAGCCAGCTAATATCGATGCAATCCAGATTGCATATAATGCATGTCAAGTTGATCAACAGATTGTATTATTCTCCAATGAAATAACAGTACTGAAATGAAGGCTATAAGGGCATTAATGGGAGCCCTTTTTTTAAGTAACTAAAACGTTACTTGTCACAGTAACGCATTACTTTCTGGTGTAAGTAATCAGTAAAGTAACTGAGTTACTTTTGAAATGAAGTAACTAGTAATGGTAACTAGTTACTGGTTTTCAGTAACTAGCACAACACTGCTCTCCAGTGGGGTCTACATTCACTTCTGCCCACATACTGAGCTGGACTGAAAAGAAAATATGATCAAAAAGGAGAGAAATCAATTCCACCTCAGGTAGAGAAGTTTAATTTTGTATCAGAATAAAAGATTTAAAATATGATCTTGTAATGTCTCTCTCATTGATTCTTTTATTATAGATTGTAGTTCATTAAAAAAAACTGTGATTTACATTTCATTTGGGTTACATTTCAGAAATGAGCTTAAAAATGTGCAACAATGTATTGAAAACATAACTGATCGCTTGTTAATTTGCACATGTCATAGCACTGTAATAGGGAAAACATAGCTATGAAACAGGTGGAGTAAGATGGCTACTGCATGGTGAGAGTGAGATGGTTAAAGGTTAAAGGGCTTATGAGTTACTTTTGGAAAAGATTCCCTTCGAAAAAGTTCTTGGCTACCAAAATAGGCTTATCAACTACCTATCAGTCACTGTCTGTGTTGCCTACATAAACACACACCCTCAGCGAGGTTAGAGTTCAGACAGCTGGATAATAACATTACAACTAATGGACTCTCATCTGTTTATTCACAAAGGCCTCCTCTCTCTTTTCTCTCTGTGTGTGTGTGTGTGTGTGTGTGTGTGTGTGTGTGTGTGTGTATGTGTGTGTGTATGTGTGTGTGTGTGTGTGTGTGTGTGTGTGTGTGTGTGTGTGTGTGTGTGTGTGTGTGTGTGTGTGTGTGTGTGTGTGTGTGTGTGTGTGTGTGTGTGTGTGTGTGTGTGTGTGTGTGTGTGTGTGTGTGGCCTAGCATTACTATACACAGTCACGTGTGGGGACTCGCCTCCCTTATGGGGACAAATTGGAGGTCCCCATGAGGGGAATCATTCATTTAGGGTGAGGACTTGGTTAGGTTAGGATTAGGGTTAAGGGTAAGGGTTAGGGTTAGGCATGTGTTGGTTATGGTTAAGGTTAGGATAAGTCTCCAGGAAATGCATGTATGTAATGTCCCCTGAAGTGATGTATACGGTGTGTGTGTGTGTGTGTGTGTGTGTGTGTGTGTGTGTGTGTGTGTGTGTGTGTGTGTGTGTGTGTGTGTGTGTGTGTGTGTGTGTGTGTGTGTGTGTGTGTGTGTGTGTGTGTGTGTGTGTGTGTGTGTGTGTGTGTTGTTGTGTGTAGGCAGGCAGAGAAGACCGTTTTCAGCGGTTTCACGTTGCGTCTCGAGGGACGCTGTGGTGACTATACCCAGAGTGCTTTGCTGCACAGGCAGGTCTGTGTGGGAGTGAGCCGGTAGTTTTATTACATTACTGTCAGGCACAGAGACCCACTGTGGCTCAGCATCATGATGCACACTAATCCACCACCGACAAGGTGTGTGTGTTTACGTGTGTGTTTGTCCATATCTGCACATAACGTGTATGTGAATTCCTTTGTTTCTGTCTTTAACACTTCAATGTTTCCTCTGAATCCATTTATAGTTTATTAGAATGTATTTTTATTTATATGTTGATCTTAAAGCATTTTCCAATTATCTTACAATGCTTACAACGGCTGCTCAGAGTGACAGGTGGGTGTGCTCAAAGGTTGCTAGCCACTAGCTCTCTGCTCTGTCATCATATTGCAAGATGGTCTCTAGTTGAAGCAGTCTGCGATTTTTTTATGAAACATGTGTGTTGTGTATTATAAAAGAGAAGAAGGGTGATGAAAGTGATGAACGCTGCTTGTGAATATGTTTTGTTTATGGCATATGTCTGCTTCTGATGTCTAGATCATCAACAGGCCACAGGTGCCATTAAACACCTGCTGATGACAGCAAAAGGTGCTCATGGGAGCTCGGTGCAGAGAGAGGAGCCGGACAGACTGCTGCTGACAGCTGGCCAATCATCTCTGCTGAAAACCTGATGACATCAGCAAACCTCGGCCGTTGAGCTGAACTGCTGCTGGAAAGTTTATGAATTTCTCCATGTTGATTATCAAAGTGGATATTCAAGATTGTTATTTGGAAAGTTTAGTTTTATTATCTGATATGTCAACTCTGTGGCATATGGAGTATTAATGCACTTATAATATGTATTTATCACTTACACTTGTGATCAAAATGCAGCATCTTACATGTTTTAACTTTTGCAGTTTAAAAATATACGTAGAACTGTATATTTCTCAGAATTAGTTCAAATTTCTTTGTAGAAAAGGATATTTTATTCTTAATGTATACTTGATACGAAATTACAAGAAAGGTATATATCAAAAGCCATATACCATGTCAAAAGGTGCTCACTTGTTTTCAGGTGATACATAAACCAAAACAACAAAATACCTCACTGTAAAATATGTTTAATGTACTTACATGTCGATCACTTCCCTCCAACACTGTTGAAGTGTATTTTTTTCTCATTTTGTGTTACTGATATCTCTGAACTGTTGGCTGTTGTATGTGGGAAAAAAAGGTTTCAGGCTGCTGTGTTTCCTCCCGGATTATTCCAGGAGGTTGTGATTCTGGGCCAGCTGGGAATTTCCAACGATTTAAGTGACATCATTGAGTCAAATAATATCCACGAAAACAATGCTGCCTGGCAACGGAAAGAGTTCCAACATCATTTATTCCCTTTTGGGACGGCCACTAGAATCTGTTGATGGGTTTTTTAAACACCTCCAAAGGCAAGATTCAAGCCAGAAAATAACATGTTTTACACCTTGATTACATTGTGAGTGAGGTAGCGATTCCCAAACTTTTTTATATAAAGTAATATAATTTGTGCCAATTGTGACTGAAGATGTATCCTTTCTTGCTTTTAGAGAACTGAATATATTCAAATATATTTTAATTCACAAGAAAGAAATGTTTTTACATTCACAAATTCTGCCCGTCATTCATTTATCCATCCGCAAAATTTCTGTTTGTTTCTTGTATGACTTCTGCAACAGTTAATGACTACTTTTACGCCCAAACTGACTCCACACAGCTGCTTCCCTTCAAGGATTATTCCCCGCAGTTACACAGTTGAAATACACATTGTTAACCTGGATCCACCCCCATATACTTGTAATTTTTGCGTTGTGTGATGCAGAATACAAAATGAAGAAATGTATCAATAATTTGTTGGGTCATTTTTACATTACATGTTACTTGTTAGACGCTTTTATCCAATGCGACTTACATACTCAATACTGTGGACAATCACCACAGGAGCAATTTGGGGGGAAGTGCCTTGCCCAGGGACACAACGACATGCTGACTGCAGTGGGATTTGAACCTGTGACCCCCTTATCCCAAAACCAAGGCTCTATCCACTGCGCCATACGCCTCCCGTCATAAATTGTATTTTTCTGTTTTTCTTTGCTGTTCATCAAATGTATTCAATAAATATGTTAGTTCAAAGCAATTGACATCAAACAAAACACTTCTACCTCCACCATTTTGCACGACATGTTACAGAGTCCCTTAACATGATATAAAAGGCATATTGGATGTTTTCTTTCAATGCTAATTAGCCTAGAGTACTATTCTCTCTTTTTGTTTATTGTATTATGTAAATGTGAAGTAGATCTACTGAACGTACCCCGAAACCAATAAATAGTATTTCTATCACGTAAAAAGTTTAAAAGCAAACGTTTAATTATGGAGGTAAAAGCAGAAGATCCATGAGACCCTGTTGAGCATCCCCTCTCAAGTCTGGTTAGACTAGTAGTTACATTGTTGGTTGATTTTTTTTAAAGAGTGAAATTCAATATGAACAATTAATTAATCTTTATATGGAAGAAAAAATCATGAGACACATACATACATAGAAAGATGTATTAACAAAGTAGCAGAAGACAGCCATATGCAAACTCAAATGTTAAAAATATGTCTTGATGTTATTTTTGTCTCTTGGCTCCTAAATGGAAACGACTTATTCCCCCTGTGGGAGGGGCTTGTTTCCCAGGGCGACAGTTAGCTGCTCACAGAGGCAGGTGTGCAGTCTCCGATGGTATGTTGAGAACTTGTGTAATGCTGTTCAGCCTGCCAGGAACGCAGGAAAGTGGCTTTAATGGTTTATCACCTCATGCATACACTATTTTTTGCAACTAGCTGGTCCCAGTATAATTTCAATAGCTGCTGTTGTTGTTTTTGTGGATTAACAGACACAGTCATGTCTAAGTTTATTTTACAGAAAGATATGTCTGGTTAATGGACTAACATTTATATACAGGCCACTCCTCGGCCACAAATAGCCTCGCCGCTGCTGAAAAGTAAGCTTTCTCTCCGCGGTGTGAGCATTCGGTTTGTGTGTTACTAATGTGAGCTGACAAGTAAACCTGTGAGTCTCTCCCCCATACCAGCGCCCACTGCTGAGCCGCTGTGTAAGTGTGTGTGTTTGTGGCGCTGTGGGGGAGAAGCCAGCAGTGTGTCAGGCAGTAATCAGGTCGTAAACTCCATCAGGTTCTGTTTTCTCTGGAAGACTTTGGAGGGGACGAAGGGGAAGTACGAAGGTGGGCGAGAAGGAAAGAGGCAGTAAAACTCTGGTTAGCTCTGTCAGCTCTCCTTCAATCAACAGTGAGACGGAGGGGGACAGAGTAAAGCCAGGGGGGTGAGGAACACATAAAGCATGCAGGGAGAACGATGGAGGGGAGTCAAACAGGTTGGCAGAGAGCGAGAGAGCAGCAGGGGAAAAATATATGGCTTCTTGGGGGTTTAAAAGTATTTGTAAAAATGTTTTATAGAATGTTACAGCCTTCTGTGCTGGCAGATGGTTGGAGTTTGACACATGTGACAATAAATAAGAATTATTGGACTAGAGTCTGGTGGGGGGCTTCTGTCCAGCAGCCACAGCCCTGCATAATCTCAGTCATCACTTGTCTCTAGTTTGTCAGTAGCAGGAGACACATGTGGTGCACACAAACACACAGAAACACACACACTCTGCAGACTTCAGAGGTCATCTTTGGGGGGGTGTAGGGAAAGAGGGGAGTGATGATAAGTCAAGGCTATCTGTGTGTGTGGTGATGATGATGATACTGAGTAAACGGTGGTCACAGCAACTGTTGTGATGAAAACATTATTTTATTTTAATGTGAGAGAGACACTGGACAAAATCACATATGATAACATACACCTGGTCAGCTAATCTTCCGCTATCAGAGACATGACCCAGCTGTGTGTGTGTGTGTGTGTGTGTGTGTGTGTGTGTGTGTGTGTGTGTGTGTGTGTGTGTGTGTGTGTGTGTGTGTGTGTGTGTGTGTGTGTGTGTGTGTGTGTGTGTGTGTGTGTGTGTGTGTGTGTGTGTGTGTGTGTGTGTGTGTGTGTGTGTGTGTGTGTGTGTGTGTGTGTGTGTGTGTGTGTGTGTGTGTGTGTGTGTGTGTGTGTGTGTGTGTGTGTGTGTGTGTGTGTGTGTGTGTACACACACACGTACACACACACGTACACACACGTACGTACTAATTGTAACTGGACCCAGTAATGAAGCTTTTCGGAGCTTCCTGTTGTGACTCTGTTCTTCTGTCGGGGGTCAAACACTCGTCTCCCCGACAGTAACCCAAACAACAGCACAGTGTTGTTGTTTTTAAGTCGTATCAATATTATATCAGGCTTAAAGTAAATGTTATACCCCACGGTTTGATTACCACAGGCAAATGAAACCATAGTCAAAGATTATTCACCAAGCAAAAAGGCTTTTCAGGGAAGACAATTTTACATTTCCACATACTACTTGATCATGGGCATTTCCACAGCTGTTAGTTCATCTGTCAGCAGGTCAGTGGCATCTCAAAATGTGTCCAAGGAACAACTAATAATATAGCATCGCTGCATCTCTTTCAAAATAATAAGTGTTTAAAATGTGTACTTATACATAGCAAAATATCTGAGATTTCTTAAATGAAAGGCCTTTGTTCGAAATAATATGATCTTTCTTACGATAAAGAATATAAGGACTGAAAAAAAGACTTAATGAGACAAAGAGCTGTTTCCAAATGTTAAGATTGAAGATGAAGACATCAAACTTCTTCTTTTTTAAATCCAGGTATATTCAACCATGTGTATATATTTGAGCTACAGAAAGAGTGCACTGATAGAGCAGATTTAAGTTCCCTGCTCTCACTCACATTAAGAAATTGCTCACTTTGATAAGATGATTAGATAACCAATGTGCTTTGGTGTGAAAGGATGAGTTGTCTGTTGGCGAGTGTAAAAGGAAGTTTTTCTTCAAAGATTGAATCACTGATTATCTGAGGCAATAATAAACATTCACAAATGTTGACATTTCAGCTTTCATATCAAACAGCGTACGATTTATTCTTTGTCAGGGGCGTGTGAAAAGCAATTAAGTTCTTAACCAAATCAATTTTCGCATCTCCTGTACCCCCCACCACTCTCCTCTGTATAGCATACATTGATGTATGTAGACAAACACTCACACACTCTTTCCCTCATGAGATCTCACAGTCAGTGTTTGAAGCTGTAAAGATTGTCAGGATGCATCTTTTGCAAGAAAAGCCCATGGGCCTCATTTTAATTTATCATCTTTAAGAAAAGAGAGGTGCTTTCACAAGTCAAAAGAGGTGTGTGTGTGGGGGGGGGGGGGGGGGTGTCAGGGAGTTATATAGAATAGGCATCAACAGTTCAAAGAATGAATTCAAGCGTATAGGGTACACTATACAGTAGGTGTGCAGAGTGAAGTGGGAATGTATGTTTCACATAATGGTAAAAAAGCGTAATGGGTGACGAATAACATGAGGGTGCCAAAGGATAACATTGAATATGAAACACTATAGCGGAACAGTTAAATATACCTCAGAGCTCAGAGTAACATAACAATTGGTGCAATTTGAGAACCTTGTGAACACAAATTGACATTTCCTACATGACCCTGGCTCCAGTCCAGGCTGTCAAATTTTGAATGGCGATACAATTGGGTTTCAGAGGGACATTCAGTTTATCATTACATGTTCATTGTCTTTTATGCTGCGCCATACATACTTCAAACAGGTAGAAACAGAGAAGAAAAAAGAACAAAGTGCCGGCTAGAAATCCATCGCGCTCAGCCTCTAACTTTTGTGGCGTTCTAGTAAATGTAAAGCCAAAATACATAATGCAACATTTTCCATGATACTTGGCATGAAAAAGAAGGCAATTTGTGGGTTTGATTGAATCCTCATTGTCTAAAATTATCAAACAAGTCTCAATGACTTTGTAATAGTGCTTAATATACAAGTTACTCAGTAGATTGAAAGATTGGAAGTGAATTGGATTTCCAATGAAAAAATATAAAAGTCAATATAAGCTTAAACTGGTTATGCATGAAAACACACACACGCACACCAGAACACACACACACACAAACACACACGCACACCAGAACACACACACACAAACACACACACGTACCATATTGTCTAGACCAGTGATTCTCAAATGGGGGTACGCGGACCCCTGGGGGTACGTTGGGGTACTGCAGGGGGTACGTGAGATTTTTTTTTAAAAAGAAAAAAAAAGGTTCATTAAAAAAATAATCTTAGTAAAATAAGTTAAATAGAAAACACAATTGTATATAAAACATTCCTAGAACCACCAAGGGGGTCCTCATATAAACATGTCAAATGTGTGTATTGTATTTTATAGTTTTTCACAATAACATATTACATAATTAAAAATCTGTTTTATAAAAGTGTTATGTTATTTTTTTTCATGCATAAAATGAAAATATCCTTATTTTGTTGTAATGCATACCACGAAGGAGTTAATACATCACACACTGAGGGAACATCACTATATTGTATTTTTAGGCTTTTTTGATCAAAAATGTTCGGGATCGGTCAGGGGGTACTTGGCTGAGAAAATGTTTCAAAGGGGGTACATTACTGAAAAAAGTTTGAGAAGCACTGGTCTAGACCATTCTGCTACAGTGACCCTAAATCTCAACTGTTCATTATTAGGCTTGTTCCGAAAATTGATGGTATAATTAGCCGAATTAGTTCAATTCACTGTGTCCCCCTTAGTAAATCCGACCAATACTCACACACACACACACACACACACACACACACACACACACATACATACACACACACACACACACACACATGATTACAGTACACCTGACTAAAGCCA